AATTTTCCTGTAAAGTCAGTCGGCAGTTGGTCAAGAGGAATCCGTTGTCCTCTGGTGGACTCGACCTTCGAATTTATTCACCAAACACTCACTTGAAATGTAAGCAAGCTCAACTGAGAAGAGCTGCCAAATGTTTTCAATTGAAGCCTATTGGAGGCCGAGAACACGCGCGCTTTGCCATTATTTGAAGAGGATCTACCATAGATTTGTTTGATCATTTTGCATTGTATAATCTTATACAATCGGTTTGATTGTGCAGCATGAGCAAAGCCCATCAAGCAATTGGTTCAGTTTAATATCTAGAATAATTCAAGAGCTGGACAAGAAATACGGTCCTAGTAAAAAAAAGCCTCTTGTGAGAACTGGTATTAGATTGCAAAATGTCATTATAACGGATAGCTCAGTCATGTCTTGTCCTTCATAAGATTTGAGGCCTTATGGTATTTTTAATTTACTAAGGGTTGTATATTCGGAGCCTAGATTTAGAAATGGATATAGCTCTGTTGGGTCCCCTTAGGGCTCTTGATAATTGAGAAGAAATTCCCAGCCTTGAAAGCAGTCGTCGATCGAAATCGTTCTGTGTACCTTCCAGTCGCGCATAAAGTGCTTATCGTACCCCATATTAACTAACTGACTTCCGGATTTTATTTTGATTTCCTCCCTCCTGTCTTCGTTTGCTACAGCATGATTTTGCCAAGTTTAAAGCAGCCAATAGCATCTGCACAAGTACATCTCTAGTATCTTCTATAGCGAAAAGGCTATTTTGGTGCAAGTTTTACTACGATTACCACGCGTTATCAATTTAATTATCACCGGCATCCATCTCTAGCGCTCGCATAAGATCGTAACTCTTAGGAGGTGAATTGAACACTGTCTTTCAGTTGCTACATAAACCAGTGCCTGCAAGCTTACTTGCTATTTCCTGTGAGACTTTAGATGTATGGAATAACCTACAAAATTGACGAATTTCACTTTCGATTCTGCTGGTATTATAAGTAGCAAAAGATCTTCAGAAATAAATTACCTATAGGCTTTTAGATTAATTAACGATTGAATATTTAATGAAGTCGGAATGATGGATTAGGTTCTAGCATTTCCGCATTAACCCGGGGTTATGCTTTAATTTGCCCTTATATGAGCCATCATCAGTTATGGTTTTGCTGATTTTGGCTCAGAAATAGGCCTCATCAGGTAGACTTGTATAGTTATATTGTTCTGAATAATAGTTCCTAAACGATCTTTGCGTTTAATCCTCAAATGCCTTTAATTTTGTTCGAAGAGGTGAATATAAGGGATTTGTAATCTG